TTGCCAAAGTATTGTATAAAGCTAACTGAATTATTTTAAATATTTTTTAGGGGACTCTTTCATATCTACTTTTTTAGCAATTATGCAAAAAATAAATTTTGCAGGTAAATTTGCCTGCATAACGCACGAAGGGATAACTATCTAAAATCTGTCTTAAACCTTTATCTAAAATAACCCTAACCCTAAAGCTAATTCAATAAAATATATATTAAAATAATCTGCCTCGCTTTAGACAATAAAGCAAGGCAAATCATGTGATTAACCGCCAATCAAATTAGATGATCGTCGACGAAGCAAACCAAAAAATAAACCTACCTCAGGTACATAAGTTAAACAAAGATGTTGGGAGGACAGAATCACATGATTTTTGAAATAAATAATTGAAGTTCTTTTTTTAAGTCGATTATATTCATTCAAACATTTAAATGCATTTATTTTCAAATTCAATTTTTTTAATGCACGTATAAAACTTAAAATGCTACCAGTAAATGTGTTTTTGTCACGATTTGGAAGTTTCTTTTTTGCTTGTTTGAAATCTTAAATGCCATTCACCATTTTTTGGATAGGTTTAAAGTTCAATTCAATGCTTCGAAACCATTTTATCTTGTTTGGAAAGATTATTGGATTTTTCAAAACAATCAAGCGTCAAAAACATAATAAAATATATGGATATTCTTTAATATAGCCGGCAACATAGAAATATTATAAGATTATAATATAAAATACTCTAACTCTAACTCTAATATAACTCTAATTTAAATTATAACCCTCATCATAAACCTAAATTAGTTTAAATAGTTATTTTATATATTATAATTTTATAATAATTCTATATTGCCTAGTTATACTAAAGATCAACCAAATATATTTATATAAACATAAAAACAGTGATAATAAAAAAAATCTTTATACCTCATGAATAGTTTTTTTTGTGCTTAAAATTTCAGATTTGGATTCGCTATTTTCAGTACTAATAATGAATGGTTCCTTCTCAATCATAACATTCGATTCTTGGTTCTTTATTGTGTTGTTTACTTGTTTTTTTTTCATTCCTTTTTCGAGTTCATAGCTATAGGTAGGATCCGTGGATAATCATGATTAAAAATGAATATTCAAAAAATGAATGTTCTGGTATATAAATTCGTAAATATTCAATAAACATTATACATAAAATTTGTGAATAGTCATCGTGAATAATCTAATCTATTTGATCATTTTGTGTATCCATGTAAAATCGAATCGGATATTCGTTCAATATTACTTGTGAATGTCCAAAAACATGAATATTTAGTGAATAGCCATAATAGATATTCAAAGGATCCCACAGCGACAATTACACCAATAGGTAAATGAGGTAGTCTTGATTTGTTTATTATTGTGTTTTTATGATAAACGTATAAATAGCCATCTCCTTTTCATAGTTCTTTACGATCTCAAGTGCTAATGAACTTGCAAAAACTTCCTCTGCGTCATTTACTTCTAATTCATTAATCATTCGAGAAATATCTACAACTATCTCAAGATTCATATGCATATTGCTTTCTCCAATATCTACAAGCTTTTCATATAAACTATATATTTAATATCTTCGGATTTTATGGCATTTTCTTATTGCTTACAAATATCATTTAAAATTTGTTCTTCAAGTTTTCTTTTTCAGCTTTCATTTATTCGGTTTGAACACTCAAAGCATGTTTTTTGATTACTTTGAAATGCAATAATGGGTTTTATAATTCTAATTTTAATAAGAAAGCGTAAATAGTTATTCTTATTATTACATGTATTAATCAAATGTTGTCATTATTGTATCAATCATTAATCCTAATGTCAGAAAATAAATTTAAAACCCGATTACGTAATGATCTTGGTGGCGATACTAGGTGGGCCGTTAAATATACCCGGCTTTGTTTCAAAATTCCTTAACTATATTTTTAAAAATACTACATTTGTTTTAATACTAATACAATATATAACCAAACTATTTTCATGAAAGGACATAATTAGATAGTATTATGTACTATCAGGAAAATAGCTTTTGGAAATAGTTCAGTAATCCTGATATAAAGTGCTTGTTTGCTAATTAGTAATACTGAAAATAAATAATTAGTAAGTTTACATATGCTTGCAAACCAAAAATATTATTTTTGACTTAAAGTAGGTATGTTTATTTCAAATAAAAATTTTACACGATGTAAAGTTTACAGTAACATTGGTGAAAATATATTTAATCGTTAACAAAAAACTATGTATTAAAAAATTTGAAAGTACTAAAACTCAAAAGAGTAAACGTTAGTATCAAACAGATAAAAGAATTATTTAAGACATAATTCTTAATTGCAGCGCGAATTTTTAGCCAGCGTGATCAGTGATGTAATTGGTTTTGTCCAATGGGAAGTTGAGGCTGCCCGATACGAAAGTATCAGTGCAGTATTTTGTCCCGAATCAGTCACGGGGTATATTAAGGCGTTGTTGTGATTTATCAATTGATTTATCAAATGGCTTATCATATGATTTTGTAGTCTCTTGTATCCATTGTATGATTTTATGATATAATGACATAATTTTTGCGATTAGTAGTTGTTAATTGTATTTAAAGGGAACACCAAGAAATTGTCTGGTTCCCGCCCACTCCTAGCATGCGAGCTTGCCATATCGATAGTCGTTGTTTAGAGTAATCATGACCTGTCAGTACGACAGTCATATTTCAAGTTTTATATTAAGCGGCCTGTCGGGACGACAGTTGCTTGGATTTTTGTCACATTTTGGATTTTTTGGTAATAAAAGTGGCCTGTTGGGATGACAGTCATAGTTATTTTGAGTTTTACAATAGAAAGTGGCCTGTCGAGACGACAGTCACAGAAGATTTTAGTTGGTAGCGGGGTTTTTTCCAGTATTAATTTTTGCTTTTAACTACAGTCACAATAGATGCACCACAACAGATAAACATTTTTGAACTGTTGAAAGAAGCTGTCTGTCAATTCGATAAATGCAAAGAATTTAACTATTCTTTTAAGACTGCCCACGTTCACGTAGAAGCTCTAAAAGGGCGTTTAGTACCTTGCGAGAGTTCTTATGATGCCGAACTCCATAGAATTCTGTCCAATTGGCTTGGTGGGTTTCAAGTCATTGAACAGTACTATCTTATAGATGGCCGGGGGCAAACATAAATACGCGGATATCGTTATTAAATCGGCCGAACACCTTCCAATCGTTTTAGAACTTGTGGCGACATCCAGGAAACAAGAATTGGATGAGCACTATAACAGAGCAATGAAATATGCTAAGTTATTAAATACAAGTGAGGTTTGGTTTGTGCACTTTACCTGTGAAGATAATGCTACTAAGAACCCCCACTGGCCTGCTATTAGGTTGCTTAAAGAAGATGCACTTTTGGCACGACTGGGACTTTCAAAGCATTACCAATAGCATGCTGGTGGGACAATAAGAATAATAAAATATAACAGATGAGGAGTTCTTGGTGCGATTTATTAAAAAAAATTTTTTTTTATTGTTCTCATATATTTTATTTTTTCTTTTTTTTTGTTTTTTTTTTTATATAAATTTCAATTTTCGTTTTTTTTCTTTTTTTTTTTTTAATTTCAATTTTTGTTGTTTTTTTTTCCTTTTTTTTTATGAATTTCAATTTTCGTTATCTTTTTTTTTTGTACACAAACTTGCTTCAAATATGTCAATTAATAAATCGATTAATGAATGTTTTTATTTACTAAAAATAAAATGTGTAGTTTTTAAACCAAGGTAAAATTGGTATAATATTGTTACACTGGTTGGGAAAGCAATATCCCGATAAAGAAGTGCCGTAAGTATCAAACAAAAAATATAATGCGAATTACCTGGATAAACTGAGTAATGCGAATACAGGAATAGAACAAATATAATAAAATATGATGCAATGGAATGGTAAATATTCAGATTATTTCAGGTACTTCGATTAAAAATAATATAATTAGAAAATACTAAATATAAAAAAAAAAATAATAAGTTTTGGGTAAAAAAATCACGTCTAATAATAAATCACAATATATACGAAAATATAAATATAATTAAATATGGCTGCCATTAATAGAAATAAGGCAGATTGACATTTTTTAAAAAAAATCAATACCTTAACTTTCACAGCTCATGCTTCAAAGAACTTTGACTATCTTGATGAAAAAAGTGCTTAGATCGTAAACTTTCTTTTGACTATTAAATAATTAAGATAGCCTCAAAATCCATCGAGATGAGCTATGAAAATTAAGGTATTGATTTTTTTAAAATGTCAATCTGCCTTATTTCTTCTATTGACGACAGCCCATATTTACTTTTTAATTATACGTGTTTTTGTATATATTAAAACATATAGTAATGAATTAGACCTGGGCGTTTTTTTTTAAATAGATTGCCTATTTGCCTATTGTAATACAAGTGTGTATGCATTTTAAATTTTTTTCTTTTCACGATATAGCTCTCAGCGCGTACCCGACCGCGTGCCCTTATTTTCCACCGTGATACAAACCAAAAAAAGGAAATTTTTGTATGTAGATCGTAAGATCAGGTGTAACATGGTATTTTTCAAAAAATCGCTAATAAAAACCACTTCTCGTGTTCTAACAAAAAAAATTCCTTGCAGAATTTTAGTATCTTCCTAACTTTAAAGTTAAAGCAAATTTGCAGCAAATGGAATATTTGTAATTTCGCGTGATTTGTATCACAGTGAGAAATAAGTAAACCCGTACTAGACCCGGAGTCTATAACATGGTTGGAATGTAATAGACCCGGGTCTTGTATACGGTAATCGCTGTTTAAAGTCTGATCTGAGAATTATTATCGTTATTATTAAATAATATAGAATTTTTTATTGTGTCAAGAAAAAGTGTTTATTCGATAAACAATTATTACCTAACCTTACATACTATATCATAAATTTTTATTGCGTCAAGAAAAAGTGGTTATTCGAAATTTATTTGGTAAATTATTATTATATACTATATCATAAATGTTCATGAATTTAAGTTTACTAATAAAAAAAGTAATTTATTTCGTGTGTTCCAGGTTCTTGGAGGTTTTTCTCTTAGTTCAGACTCTTTATGTTGTCTATTATCTCTTGAATTGGCGTGAAATTTGATTCAATATTTTTCAACCATTTTTTTCGGTTGCGGAAGGCTATAATATAAGACTTTTCAAGAAGGTCAAGCCTATATCAGAATAGTATCTGTATAATTTAATTTGATAAAAACAATAAATAGATTATACTTCATAAAGAATTTTTTTTGTATTAATCAATAATTTCCAATTCGCTTTCTTCACTTGATTCGTCATCTTCTACAATATTATTATCGTTATTGTCAAGAATGGAAGTTGTGCATCATCAGGTGATATGTGAGTTTCTTCCAATGGCTTTCTTCAATTAACGGATAATATGAACCTAAATTGAAAGTTATATATGTTTCTAAAATATAATACATACAGTAATATGAAGATAAACTTATCAAACCTTTCTGAATAATGAGGCCGTCATATTTCCTAAGATGCTTCTGTATTACGTTGTTTAGAATTGTCTAAACTTTTTTGCCTTTTTTTCAAGTTATTAATGGCAATTGCACCAATAAGTGAACAATATAATGCTTCTTATGATAAACATAAGAATATCCGTCACCTTTCTATAATGCCTCACAATCTCAATCGCTATTAAGTTTGCTGCATGTGATTCATCAATATTTTCTAATCTTATCAATTCGATTTGAAGGATTTATAATTGCACTAAGATCCATTCATGCACTCTCTCCTTCCATATTATCCATAATTTTTTTACAAACTACATCTACGATATCTTCAGTTTCTATAGCACTTTTTTTCATTTCATGAATATTATTCATATTCTGCTCTTAACGTTTTCGTTTTTTGCCTTTATTTATACGGGTTAAGCATTCGATACATGTTTCTTTATTGGTTTCAAATTCATTAATTTATTTTATTATTCGGCAAGCGAACATTTTTTTAAATTCAATTGGGTTGAGTAGTCAGATTCCATTAATGAAGAAAATTTTTAAACGACACTTGTTATTAAGTTACAATATATAAACAGACATCGTAATTATTAACTCATTATTAATTATGTGATACAGCACCTAGTATCGCCACCAAAATCAGGTATGTACGTACGTAATCACTTTTTAAATTTCAATCTGAGCACAATAAGAATTATGAGAATTTTAAAGATTCATATGGGCAAAAATTTTTGATGGGAATTTTGTGATTAGTGATATAGTAATCAAATTGGTTATATTCAACCAAAAAAATCAAATTTATTTGTAGACGGTTTCATAAGGGTTTCATAAGCAATTTTATGATTAAAAAATGATGATCTGCCAATCAGATACAATTCTACAATTCAATTTTATTACACTTTACCGGTAATTACGCAATATCACATAAATGATTGGACTAAATCTTGCGAAATATCGTCATATAATTTTTAATAATCACCAAATCAAAAAATTTCGCCCATATGTTTTTTACTTATTTATTATTTATTCATATTACTTATCAGAATTTAAGAATTTACTTAATTATCACTACGAATTACATTCGATTCGAATAATCTTGGCATAGTGATCGGGGATTATTACTAGGGATGCGGTTATACTGGTATTATAGAAATGGTTGTATAATACCCAAGTATAATACCGGTATAGCTGCCATTTTGGAATTTTTCTTAGTGAAACTTTCAGAATTGCAGATAAAGCAATTTAATTGGCTAACCCATTCTATTATTGGTATATAGTATTATACTGATTGGCCGGAGCGTAGCGACGGACATTTAGTGTTTACGCTTGGTGATACAAAAATTACGTTTTTGATGCATTAAGCCACCAGGATTTGCTTTTTTGATGCAGCCGTATAAATATTATGAAGATCCATCAGAAATGTAATTTGGAAATTTTTTGTCTATCCGCACGCGTGTTCAAATTTGTACACGTTTGTGTTATATGATAATCGTCATGTGCTCCGGACACACAATGCTATGCATTAGCCTAGTATTATATCCAGGGGAGACCGTCCCAAATTAGGAAACAATTACCTGAGTCACCCGGCCGTTACACAAATGATAAAATTTTTTTTTATATGTTTTATAATACTATTAGTTCCGATTGATCAAATTAATAAATTTTTGAATTATTAAATAA